TTTTCTCCTTTCTTTCATCTATGGCACAGCCGGTGATCACAGGTCGTCTCCCTCTGTTGGTCCTTCGTCTTGGACAGTACTGCAGAATATCTTTATCTGTTAAATACTGTTTATCATGGTTAATAGACAGGTATAGTCCTAGTTCGTCAGTATCAATTCCTTCTAYTTTCACGTCACTATCATCAAACACCTCACATRCCTTATCCACTGTAAAATCGATATCAAGACTCGGGTATAGAGCTTTCACATCAGCTGAGCCAACTACTATCTCTTCAGTCAAATGGTGTTTTGTGCGTAAAGATCAGTAAAGTAATCTTGAGTTTACACATAATGGTATTGGAATATTCCAGAGCAATCTTGTAMACAGCGCCATTGTCCCTCTTACTGCGCAAGCTCGACGAAAAACAATGGCTCTGGAGTACACAAACATTTCTCGCTCTCTGATTGGCTCATAAAATAGACACACTTGCCGCCGGAAGAGATAAACACTCAAATCATTCTGTATTTCCCTACCTTACCTTGAATTCTTACTTTAAAAGCATTTTTTATCATCTAAGGTCTAAAAATCCCTTTTCTGACTTCGAAGGCTTTCATTTAGCCAATATTCTTGAGTAAAATCAGTCAAATAAAGCGGTTAGATCGGGTTTCTACTGCGCATGGGTGAAATAGCCTGATTCTGTGTATTGAAATATTCCATTGTTTGTCGCAAACCAAAAGTAACGCTCTGGGGTACGATTGCTGCCACGTATAGCTTTCTACTCGGCTTTTTTTACATGTAAAAATACACTTTTGAAAGACGGCGAACAGCAAAATGGTAAGGTGAAAACTGATAAGGTGATTATGACTTCTCAAAAACGTCTTATTCAGGCTAGTAACGAGGTATATTTTTTTGCTGTTGATCCGGATCAAAACAGCCTAAAAACGTGATCCCGATCACAAAACTCCGTACATTTTGAGCCGTGATCCCCTTACAGAATCGCTGAAAAATATAATTGATCCCGATCCCAGTCGAAAAACCTTTGATCCCAGGATAAATTCATTTGACGCTTATCCCTGATCCCACGACCTCGTTACTAGCCTGTCTCATTTTATGAATTCAAAGCAAAGAAAAACATCATTCGACTTCATAATCGTAAAAGACAGATAATAATAAACATCTGGATATAAATTTTGACTTCGCAAGCTCGTTTTTAAAACCATAAAAGATCATAAAAAGCAGTCAAAATGTGAACAAGTTTGCGAGTAAAAACTTTCTTAATTTACCAGACTTTTTGAATATCAATTTTTCCTGCCCGCCAATGTTGCAAATTTCTTGATATTTTGGATTTGAGTAGAGGAAAGGTTGTTCTTGAAAAAGATATAAAAATTTGTCTGGGGCTTTTTATANTTCCTTCTATTTTCACGTCACTATCATCAAACACCTCACATGCCTTATCCACTGTAAAATCGATATCAAGACTCGGGTATAGAGCTTTCACATCAGCTGAGCCAACTACTATCTCTTCAGTCAAATGGTGTTTTGTGCGTAAAGATCAGTAAAGTAATCTTGAGTTTACACATAATGGTATTGGAATATTCCAGAGCAATCTTGTAAACAGCGCCATTGTCCCTCTTACTGCGCAAGCTCGACGAAAAACAATGGCTCTGGAGTACACAAACATTTCTCGCTCTCTGATTGGCTCATAAAATAGACACACTTGCCGCCGGAAGAGATAAACACTCAAATCATTCTGTATTTCCCTACCTTACCTTGAATTCTTACTTTAAAAGCATTTTTTATCATCTAAGGTCTAAAAATCCCTTTTCTGACTTCGAAGGCTTTCATTTAGCCAATATTCTTGAGTAAAATCAGTCAAATAAAGCGGTTAGATCGGGTTTCTACTGCGCATGGGTGAAATAGCCTGATTCTGTGTATTGAAATATTCCATTGTTTGTCGCAAACCAAAAGTAACGCTCTGGGGTACGATTGCTGCCACGTATAGCTTTCTACTCGGCTTTTTTTACATGTAAAAATACACTTTTGAAAGACGGCGAACAGCAAAATGGTAAGGTGAAAACTGATAAGGTGATTATGACTTCTCAAAAACGTCTTATTCAGGCTAGTAACGAGGTATATTTTTTTGCTGTTGATCCGGATCAAAACAGCCTAAAAACGTGATCCCGATCACAAAACTCCGTACATTTTGAGCCGTGATCCCCTTACAGAATCGCTGAAAAATATAATTGATCCCGATCCCAGTCGAAAAACCTTTGATCCCAGGATAAATTCATTTGACGCTTATCCCTGATCCCACGACCTCGTTACTAGCCTGTCTCATTTTATGAATTCAAAGCAAAGAAAAACATCATTCGACTTCATAATCGTAAAAGACAGATAATAATAAACATCTGGATATAAATTTTGACTTCGCAAGCTCGTTTTTAAAACCATAAAAGATCATAAAAAGCAGTCAAAATGTGAACAAGTTTGCGAGTAAAAACTTTCTTAATTTACCAGACTTTTTGAATATCAATTTTTCCTGCCCGCCAATGTTGCAAATTTCTTGATATTTTGGATTTGAGTAGAGGAAAGGTTGTTCTTGAAAAAGATATAAAAATTTGTCTGGGGCTTTTTATATTCTTGGAGATATAGCGATTTAAAAAAACGACAAAATCAACAAAACCTGACAAGAAGTCCAGACAGTTGTCGTGACTTGTTTGTGTCATGCAGTGAAGGTACGTGCTGCACGCTTGTGACGTCAGCACTTTTAACCCCTGGAGCGTTTTAGTACAAATCGAGAAACTTCTCGTGACTCGCAGATCTCGACTTCAAACGTCGGAAAAGCGACTATTTTAACACTGAAAATCGACGATATTCCTGTCTCGAAGTTTGAGTAAGGCACAAAGAATTGTGTTAATTAAGAAATATAAAACGACGCTATAAACACGGTTCTCTCCCTTATAGTTAGTTAGTTTATAGCCATACATTTTAGAAAAACAAGTTTTTTTTTTCTATACTTATTTATCTTTTTATTACAAGCACCTTTTTTCTGTCAAGTTAAAAGCAAAAAAGAGCAATAAAACAGTTTCAGTTAAAACAGTTTCAGTTTCAGAAAAGCACGAGAGAAGCAAGCTTAGGAACACGAGCGTAGCGAGTGTAGCGTAGTGTTTATATCAGAGGACAGAGACACAAGTGGCCGTTTTATATTTCTTTTATAAAATTTTTCGAGCGAAAAGCAAATTTTGCCCGTAAGCCGTGTCTCTGTCCTCTGATATAAACACGGTCGTCAGCCAATCAGAGCGCGCTTTATATATCAACTAGACCCTGACAGGCAGGGTGAACTCGTGCCCTAAAGGTGTTGAAAAGTGCTCATCTAAAACTTGTCACTTGTTCGCCTATACGCCCATCCATAAATAAATCATGAAGTGATTTGAAATCACATATATTAAGAGTAGAATTTATGTATTTATCATGGATTAAGTAACTAGCGCATAGAGTGCGCTTGTACGTTGTTGTTTTTGCTAAGTGGTTATGGTTCATTAGCGGGACGCTATTATATAAGGTAATGAGAGGATAGAATATTCATTCGCGTCCAACGATCTTCGTTGTCGTGT